ATAGCTTCTCTCGGTGCCATTTTCACCTTCATTTGTTTTTTTTTTGGTTACGGTAGCAGCGTGAAGTTCAACCCGTGTTATAGGAGTGACGGGTCTTAACAGATCCCGCGTGGCTACGCAACAATAACAGCCTACATAAGCCAGTGAAAGAATGAAAGCAGAGGCTAGGACAAGGTGTTTTCAGGGCTGGGGCAAGGTGGAGAGAGGGGGGGGGAAACACCGAGATTAGGTCGCGATCTAGTGGTCATCTGGCGCTTTCTAAGGCTGAACGGAGGGGCTACATGTCGAATGGCTGTCAGCAATCCTACTGCTACCGGGATGCATTGGCCACAATTCTCGCCTCCATCTTTGGCACTGGACAACTCGTCCAGATTGCCCAACATCATGACCACCTCTGAGATCTGATACATCCTGTTGCTAAGGAGCTTGCAGTATATTGAAGACAAAAATAGTCATTTGAGTGGTGGGTCCACTTCATGCAATTGGTCAAGTACTCACTGGCAGTTCACTCAACAACAACAACTAAAATTGAAACGCAAGGTTTGAAATTTTTTTCCAGAGGAAGTTGTTGCAAATTTCAAATTTTGATTATTTTCCAGCGTCACTGCTTTCTCATCTACCCTTCACAGAAGAAACAAGAAGGAGCTCCAAAAAGTCAATTTCAAAAAGTTCAACGGCAGGGGCTTCATAAACTGTGGGAGACTCCTGTTCGCTCCGCCCAAATCCCGCCCTTTCTGCAAAACGCCCCAGACCAGCGGGCTAAGGTCACCGGTAAAACTTCAGTGCCTCCTTTTCGCCTGTAACAAACTTTGCAAGGTTATTCGGCTCGAAAAAAATATTTTGAGAACTGAATACTTGGTTGCCTTCTTTCATAGTTCGTTTACTCACTTGAACCTCCTCTACATGCCCTAAGATAAGGCTAAGGCTCACATGTCAAAATAGGGAGCTCCACTTACCTCCTCAAGTAATCACTTTCCGATTTTGTACCAAGTCGAGCCATAAGAGGTCCTTCATGTTGTAAATATCCTTTTTCCATATCCACATAGATCTTGAAATAGTTCCCCCTTACTGTTAATCAAGAGAAAAGGAAACATAACAGTTTAACACATACCGCCTTGAGTAGCCTCTCTGCAAAATTGTCGACGGCACTATTTGTGAAGGAAACCACCAGAATCGGCTCTACAATACCCCACCGCGTTCGATTTTGAAGCATTACACGTACAATCTCCACACCAATGAATGTTTTGCCTGAAATCGATTCCAAGAATATAAAAAACAGGAACGTAAGAACATTCTTTAAAATAATCTGCTTATAATTCTAAAACTTGTCTCCTAAGACCGCATTCATACATTTCTGAAGAAATCGCGATTTGGGAGACACGGCGATTAGAGAGATTGGCGACGGGGAAAACACAGGTATCTATCTAGCGACTGGGAAGAATCGGCAACCGGCATCTTGGGTGACTCGGAGTTTCGGGCGATTGCGTGTCAAAGGAGCATGGGTATGGATCGGACCCGATCGACACCCATTCACTTCTTTGGCGTCGCCCGAAAGCCGAATTGTTTCCTCGGTCACCAGATCAATACTTATACTTCTCTTCGTCGCACTATCTCTATCGCTGAGTCTCCCAAATCGCCGAATCTCCTCAGCCGCTAAGTATGAACGCGGCCTCACTCAACCTCGTCCAACCACTGTAGCCGCCTCCAACTGCTAGCGAATCAAAGGGCATAGTAAATGCTTTCCATACCCCAGGAATTGGGGGAGCGTGGTTGTGTACCTCTTTTGATCGGTCTGTAGGGAGTGGTTTGCGTAGGATATCAAAGGATAAAGGATAAAGTCTTCGCCGTTGATCAATCCCTTTGTGGGATGCGGCACGCATTCTACTTCCATTCAGAATCGTAGTGGCTTATTGAATGCGATGTGGCCTATACAATGACTTGCGGGGGCCAGCCGATGTACAAGTCAGTGTTTTATCCTCCCAGACGAATCTGGTACCAATTTATCCGCCTCCCCCCCTTCTCCCCGGTTATAGAAGAATTGATAGGCCTGGGTGGAAGTCGACCCGGGATTTGAACCCAGGGCCACGCTGGTGGTAAGCTCTACTTGTTACTACACCACCTCCGCCTCCGTGGGCATTGTTTATATAAAAATATATATTTCCATCTCATACTGCCTTGAGTAGTACAAAGACGATTACGGTAGTACGTAAGCAGCGTGCCGCATCTAAAGCTCATTGTCAGCCGTCACGTGCAAATGAAGCACCCAGTCATCCCCCCCCTCGCTCCCCGCAAAAAAAAACGTAATTTTGCGACTTTTATTGCGTACCTGTCCCAGGAGGACCCTGAATTATGGCAAGCTCGCTGGTCAGAGCATAGATCATCGCACGTCGCTGGCTTTCATCCAGATTTGATGGTTTGAACTCTTCAAGCATTTTATCCACCTGTAATAAAGGAAACATCAAAATCTACCGTAATTCTCACAGGTACTTCCAAGAGGATGAGACTGAACAAATAAGAATGGAAGTTCAGGAAATTCAACAGCGAAATTATCTCTACCCACCTCGTAGCCGGTTCCATTAACGAGAATATGCGATTGGCCTGCAATAGGTACTATTAACTTTAAGATTACATCCTGACTTCCTTTCTTGTGTTAATTTAGACGAACCAAGATACAGTCTCCTTTGCTACAGACGCTGGGGCGTTTCAGGCTTTGTTTGGCACGGTTCCAGCCAGTTTCCCAGCAATTGCGGCCGCCCGCTAGCTTCCACAATTGGTGGAAAAGGGCTGGCGCCGCGCCAAAGCCGGCCCTCCTGAAACGGTCCAACGTCCGCAGCGGACAAGATGTACAGATGTTATTTTGAGAAGCGGTAATAGTAGCTATGGTTGCGTTCTCCTTTTGCGTTTCGAGTCATCCAGTCGCGAATAATGAGCGCGACCTGACCCTATTTTCAGGAGGTATAAGCCGCATTTTTTTTCGATGCTCGCGACAACGGAAAGTATCTGAACACAGCGACAGCGTTTCTAGTCTTTATACTTTCGTTCTGGTTATATACAAAACAATAATATCGTGAATAGACCACTCGCACAGACCTTTATTAAGAAATAAGCAAAAATTAAAAACAAGTTCGTGGCGATCGAACCGAACATGCGCCCTACACCCTTGAAAATAGGGTACAAAATGAGTGAAACACACCTTCTATATTGACAACTCGTCCTATCTTTTTCATTATCGGCGT